ATCTTTGACTCATATGTTAAGTGTACATTTAATCCTTTTTTTTCTTCTTTTAATTGGGGATCAAACCCAAGAGGATTCTACCTCTGAACTACATCTAAATTTTATTTTGAGACAGGGTATCACTACGTTGCCCAGGCTGATCTTGAACTTGCAGTCCTCCTGCCTTCATCTTCCTAGTCGCTGGGAATACAGGTGTTTGCCACTGATCCAGGCAAGTGTATGTTTAACTTTATAAGAAGCTGAGGAACTGCTTTTCAAAGCCAGCTTTGTATCATTTTTGTATCCCTCCCCCGACGGCCACTTACATTTTTCCTCTATACTTTCAGGGGTCAGATTTGCATTTCTTTTGAGTCAGATGGTATATTCACCGGCCTCAAGGTGTCCCCAGTACATCCTGGTGAGTGTCAAAAGAAATACCAATAAATGTTACTTTAGCTGGACGAAAAGAGGTTCCATCTACAGTGATCTTGTCTTCTGCACCCAGTAATCTGATTCTAAGACCTGTTCTAAGCGGAGTTCTTTGGGCACAGGAGAACTGCTTTTAGGGAGGGAGTCACCTATGGTCAGCCAGTCAATTGATCTGAAGGTGACCTGATGGAAATCCCACACTGCATCATTCTCCTTGAGAACTGCTGGAAGGGAAGAAATCTTGGAGACCTCTCTCAACACCACTCCAGGTCTAAAATCCTGAGGCTGGGGTGACAGATAGGGATCAGGACCCCTGGCTACAGGCCAGGGATTGTGACTGCTTATATGTCTTGACATTCACAAACGGGCCATGTAAGGCTGTATGGAGGGAAAAGGACTTTGAAAGATGCTTCTTAAAAGACTCAAACCTGGGGCTTGGGTTGTAGCTCAGTGGTAGAGCGCTCGCCTAGTATGCAGGAGGCCCTGGACTTGATCCTCAGCACCACATAAATGTAAAATAAAGATATTGTGTTCACCTAAAACTAAAGAATAAATATTAAAAAAAAAAAAAAAGACTCAGGCCTTTCCCCACTCCTAATCTCAGAGCAGTTTCTCTCACCTGTCAGTTCTTTTGGGGCTTTCAAGGAAAGGAAGAGAGCGACTCCCAAGCCTCTTAGCCAGTCAGATGAGCCAATGCAGGACCCACCCTGGAGTGAGTTTGCTATATGTGTAATCTAAAAAATGGGTGAAAAGGAGGAAAAAGATAGGTAGAGGCCTCCTTTTGGAAGGCAGTGACCCCTCTGCCCAAGGATGGGAAAGGATGGAGCTTGGCAGAGGCCCATGAAGAAAGGCCAGAGGTGCAGTCACTTGGAAGGGCCTGGGGACGAGGTGACAAACCAGAGTGAGGAGTTTCCCTCTTCCTCCAGGAGAAACTATACAGGGGCAGCTGGTAGGGACAGGGACTTGGAGAAAACTGAGTATCCCCGACGCCCCAACTCAGCGTGGAGGATCAATACCAGAAACAGATATATGATAGTGAGGGAGCACAAGTTCCCTTAGAATAAAGACTACATTTCCCAGGCTCCCTTGCGGATAGGCAGGGCCTAGAGAGCGGATCCTAACCAATGACTTCTCTAGACAGGTCATGTGGCAGCCCTCGGCCTCTCTGGGAGCCAGAGCGCTGTAGGGAGGGGCTTGGCCCAATCAGCGCGACGCTGCCTGCCCTGTGTGTCTCCCTTCCTGGCGAGAAAGCAGTGTTCTACAGTTCTTGTTGTTCCTACAGCCAAACCTAGTCTTAAATAACCTTAGAGCCAAAGGAGGAGTCAAGGCGGGAAAAGGAAGCGGGTCCCAGTTGTAGGTAAATCGCAGAGCCCTAGGGGTGTGTTGGGAGCCTGGGGCTGAGCGCTGGGGAAAAGAGGGAGGTTGCAAAAGTACCTGGTGAAGTAGCCCAGAACCAACCACCTGCGCACATTGCCCACTCCCTGTCTTTCCCTGCCCAGGCTTTTGGCACATGGCCCCCTGAGCCAGAGAGGACTCCTGCCCATGGTCTGCCCTCAACCACAGGGGTTCTCTGATTCCTCTCTGCCCCGCATTGCACATTCTGAGTATAGACCTGAGACTGAGTTGGCCACTTAAGTGGAGCACAAGCTCTAGAGACAGGAGTGAGTAGTTGTAGGTGGGACCCAAGATACAGATCTGCATCCTCCCCAACCCTCCCACTCCATTTCATCCATTTGCCCACCCAATAGATACTACGGAACTTCCACCAGTGTTTAAGTGCTGGGGATTGGACAGGGAAGAAAACCAAAAAGCCTGCAGTCATGGAGCCTACGTGCCAATGTGGGCGGCCAGGGTAGATGCTGAACAGGATAAATAAGAAAAACATAAAGTATGTTATGTAGTGATCAGTGCAAAGGAAATAAAGCTGAGAAGGGGTAGGAAGTAGGGGGTGACATTCAGGTAGGGCCACTAGGGAAAGCCTCACTCACTAAAAGGCAGCTTTCCTATGAAGATGTTTTTTGCTGCAGTAGGTAGCAAACCTAGGGCCTTCTGCTAACAAGTGTTCTACCACTGAGCATTCCATCTCCAGTCCTTATTAATTTTTACTTTTTGTTGGGGTGGGGGTTACCAGGGATTGAACCCGAGGCACTCGACCACTGAGCCACTCCCCAGCCCTATTTTGTATTTTATTTAGAGACAGGGTCTCACTGAGTTGTTTAGCACCTTGCTGTTGCTGAGGCTGGCTTTGAACTCATGATCCTCCTGCCTCAGCCTCCCCAGCTGCTGGGATTATAGACCTGCACCACCATGTCTGGCTCTTTTTATTCTATTTTAAGACAATATCTTGGCCTGGTTGCTCATGCCTGCAATCCCAGCAACTCAGTAGGCAGAGGCAGGAGAATCCCAAGTTCATGGCCAGCCTGAGCAATTTAGCAAAACCTTATCTCAAAAGTAAAAAAACATAAAAAGGGCTGGGGATGTGACTCAGTGGTAGGGTGTTCCTGGGATCAGTCCCTCCCTTGGGGAAAAAAAAATTGACAGGGTCTCACTAAGATGTTGAGGCTGGCCTTGAATTTGGGATCCTCCTGCCTCACCCTCCTAAATAGCTGGGATTACAGGCATGCACCATGGTGTCCGGCTCGGTATAGACTTTAAAATATTGAAAGGGTGTAGGAGAAGAAAATACACTTATGTCTTGCTATGGCATGGTATTAACTTGATAAGTACAAACATGTGCGTGCTGCATTATGTGTGCCCCTTTGTGCCTAATGAAGGAAGTGTCTGCACATCCCAGCAGACCAGGGTGAAGTGTCTGGAACAGACTGGAGCAGGGAAGGAAGGGCTGTATTCTTCTTCAAGCAGGGCCAAGAGGGACCAGTGCTCTGGGCATCGTCAGCGACACCTCTCCCAGCCCAGACAGCGCTATCTGAGAAGGAGGATGGGCCCTGGAGATTATAGCGTCTCCTATGTCTGGCCCTGTGACTTTGGGGGCCAGGGAACACTGCAGGATGACCACGGGCTCTCTACCCCCCCATCCCGTGCACACTTCAGCCCCTTTCTACTCCCTTTGCACTCCTGCCAGACAGGGTCTGTTGGGGTTTTTTCCAGGCTGGGCCACAGGGATGGGGCAGGGACCATCCTGGACAGTCAGGAGAGATGAGGCGTGACCCTGAACTCCTGTGGTTGAGGACAGGGCAATGGGCGCAACTTTGCTGAGGACAGATGGAGAATGGGGAGGGGGAGGTCAGCAGTGCCCCCTCCACACATCCTGTTTTCAGAATGTGAGACCCTATCACGTGCTCTTCCCTTTGGACTTCATCCAGGGCAGCACCCCCCCACCCAGGACCACTCCCAAGGCACCCCTGCAGGAGGGTGGGAGGTTCCCCCGGCACACCCATGCAGGGCTTAACCTAAGTTTTTCCAGGCTGGGCTGGGCCCCTGAGCCAGTGGGGGTGAAGGGCACATTTCCCACCCCTTCCTGAAAGCAGACCAGGGGGTCCCTATCAGCAAATGGAAAACCATGCAGGTCCCTGTGGCTGACTGAAAGAAGAAATGTCACGTGGCAGGCTCTGGGACATCACCTGGGAATCCCAGCCAGGTCAGAGGAAAGACAGGCTTAAGAACCAGTCAGGCAGAGTGTGAGGCCAGGATTTGCTGTGGCATGACTGGTGGCATGACTGCAGGCAAGTAGCTTAGACCCTCTGAGTCTCAGTTTCCCTGGCTGTAAAGAGTGCCCTCCTGCCAGGGTTGGTAGGAGGACTGAATGAGCAAATGGGTGTGTCCAGGCTCCAGGCCCTGTCAGCAAGTGAGCAGGGGCAGTGTGCTAGCTGGAGACTCCTAGGACTCCCTAGCTGCTCAGGCCCCCATCAGTCATCCCAACTCCCCTCTCCAATGAGACAGCCTCTCCTGCCACCTACAACAGTAGGAGACCATTGATTCAGAGCCTCCTGATGGACGAAAAAGGCTTATAATGTAACATGGTCAACATAATAAATCTGGAAATTACGGAAACGCAGAAAGGAAGCCAAAGCCTTTGTTTAACTACCAAAGCCAGTCACTCTGGATACCTTGATGTTGTTCCACATGACATTTCCAAGCACAGGGTTTTTGGTTTTCTATAACATGGCTGAGACCTGAGCATTGAGATGTTGAGCCAGACCAAACTTGGGGGTCAGCTGGCCCAGCTTCCTTGGATGGAGATCCTGGCCCAAGAGTGGAATGACTTATCCAGGTCAAGAAGTGGCAGAGCTGGAACCAGAAACCATTAGATGTGTGTTGCCTCCTAAACACCAATAAGAACCTCCTCCTGGCACCAAAGACCACCTTCAAAAGGAACATTTATAGCAGATCTAGGCATCCAGTTGGGGGCTGGGGGCGTCTGTTGAGGAAGAGCTTCCATGAACCCCTTGGCTCCTTCAATATAAGATGTGGCTCTGACTAACCCTATGCCTTTCTGCAGATGGAAACCCAGCTAGGGGATGAGGGAGAGGTGGAAAGGGAGGGCTGGCAGAGCCCAGCAAGGGGTGTGGCCTTGGATCTGTTCCCAGGGTGGAGCCAGCCATCAGGGTCACCCTGTCCCTTTAAGAGAAGGGGGAGAGCTAGCCCCTCTCAGCCATCCTGTCCTGTCATCCATCCCAGCCAAATCCGAAAGGGAAAATGAAAGAGGGACCAGGAGGAACAGGTCCCAGCTGTCTCCCAAGGTCCTGCTCTTGGCTCTAACACCTCAACCCCAACCCCTGGTGAGTGGGTCAGCTGTGGGTCTGGGGGCACCAAGGGGCTGTGGGGGACCCTTAGGACTGTGTGTCAGGGAGGTTCTCTGGAGATTCTGTAGGATGGATGCCTGGCAGGAGGCGGGAGGAGGCTGGGCCGCATTCCCACCACCGTGCTAGGAATGGGCAACAACACCCAGAACAGGGATCCTGAAGAGTGGCGGCTGCTTTTGTATTAGCCCCTTGATCCCACCAGGCGTTCACTGCGGTTCCCAGAACAAGAGGAATGGTGGGCAGGGAAAGAAGAAGGTTTCAGTGGCTCTGCCCACTGTTCCCCAACACTCCCAGGAGTCCCAAATGGGGCCTGGCATCCTGGACTCCAGGCATGGCCCCTGCGGATGGCCAGCATTGGTGCATACATGGCCACTGGGCCTCAGCTTCCATAAGTGCAAGTCAAGGGCTGGCCCTGGGCATCTACAGAGTCCCTTCCCCAAAGTCTGAAATCTGGAGGAGTATAAGGGCCAGCTGAGCAGGCCAAGCAGGCCCAAGCAGGCCCTGACTAAACTCCAGGGATGCTGCTCCCCAGCTCAGAAAGAAGAGAACTTAGGGAATCACCTCCTCCATTTAGACCCCTTCATCCTGGGCTCCTCTGTTAACTCACTCACTCCCACAAAACCCTGCTGCACCAGGCTTCTCTGACCCCTGGTGCACTCTGAAGTTAGAGAAAACTGACTCCCACCCCATGGGCGTGGGAGGGGCTGGGGTCCCCATCAGTCCCTGCCTCTTACTACCCTCTGCATCCCCAGCACCATGGGAGAGTGGGCGTTCCTAGGCTCACTGCTGGACGCGGTGCAACTACAATCGCCTCTGGTGGGTCGCCTCTGGTTGGTGGTCATGCTGATCTTCCGCATCCTGGTGCTGGCCACCGTGGGCGGCGCGGTATTCGAGGACGAGCAAGAGGAGTTTGTGTGCAACACCTTGCAGCCGGGTTGTCGCCAGATCTGCTACGACCGCGCCTTCCCAGTCTCCCACTACCGCTTCTGGCTCTTCCACATCCTGCTGCTCTCCGCGCCGCCGGTGCTGTTCGTCATCTACTCCATGCACCAGGCCAGCAAGGAGGCGGGCGGCGTGGAGGGTGCAGCGCCGTGTGCGCGCGGGCGCCCGGAGGGCTCTTGCGCACCCTGCGCCCTGCGCGCTCGCCGCGCGCGCCGCTGCTACCTGCTGAGCGTGGCGCTGCGCCTCCTGGCCGAGCTAGCCTTCCTGGGCGGCCAGGCGCTGCTCTACGGCTTCCGTGTGGCCCCGCACTTCGCGTGCGCCGGCCCGCCCTGCCCGCACACCGTCGATTGCTTCGTGAGCCGGCCCACCGAGAAGACGGTCTTCGTGGTCTTCTACTTCGCCGTGGGGCTGCTCTCGGCGCTGCTCAGCGTGGCCGAGCTGGGCCATCTGCTCTGGAAGGGCCGCCCGCGCTCCGGAGAGCGCGACAACCGCTGCAACCGTGCGCACGAGGAGGCGCGGAAGCTGCTCCCGCCGCCGCCGCCGCCGCCGCCGCCGCCGCCCGCTCTGCCATCGCAGCACCCCGACCCAGATCCCTACGCCCCACCCGCCTATGCGCACCCGGCACCGGCTGGTGACAGCGAAGGCGAGGGCGGAAGCGGCCGCAGCAAGGCGTCACTAGCCACTGTCCGCCAGGACCTGACCATCTAGCGGCGGTCCCTGCCCTGTGTGGACGGTGAGATCCCAGGCCGAACCCCACCACCCGGGTCCCTGCCGTAGAAGCAAGAGACTTCCGAAAGGACTGTCGCGGGACCCTGCCTGAGCACAGTGGACTGGCCCAGGGAGGCATAGCACTTAAGGAGTGCGTGCAGGTGCCACTGGCAGCGGCCATTCCGAGGTCGCAGAGAATGAACTAAGGCGGGTCCTTGATGCTCTGATCATGGTCGGAAGGAAGGAGGACAAGGGGACTGAGAAGTGGGAGGGAGGAAGGCAGCTAGTGACCTGGTTGTAGTAGGGACAGAACCAGCTGTGATACCAGCATTCCCAGGCGCTCTCCTTGATCAGAGAGGGGTGACTTCCATGTGGGTTCTTGGTGAGTGTTCGCAAATGAACACATGAATATGCTGTGAGATTTGTGTGCACACGCAAAACCTGTGTGAGCTGTGTGCACCGGGAGCCTGTGAACACCCTGTATGCATGCAGGTGCACACACGTGTACACACACACCCCTCCCAAATGTATTGTGAATACAGGTGCACATAGACACATGGACCTCTTGGTGAGCAATGCGTGTGTGTACTCGTGCACACAGACACGTATATGTCCTACATGAACTGTTGCACACGTGTAATGTACATCCTGCAGGAGCTGGGTGTGTGAGATCACTTATATGCGCTGCAAGTATAGCCAAAATCCAATGCCAGCAGCAGCCACAATGACTGTCTCCCCACTCCCCTAACCCAGCCCACCTGTGGGCTTCCCAGGAAGGTGTCCCCTCCTGAGAGGACACATGGGAAGTTGGGGGGAGGAGTCACCCTTCACAGGAGCAGATCTCTGTCCTGTAGGCTTGTGAACACATCCCACTCTCCACCCAATGGCTGGAGCAGGGTGGCTGGGCCCTTGCATGGAGGTAGAGCGGGGTAGGATGGGCCAGAGGGTAGGACAGACTAGTGTTTGCCTGTTTTTGTTCTGTTTTGTTTTTAGTACTAAACCCAGGACCACTGGGCTGCAGCCCCAGCCCTTCCTTAATTTTTTTTTTTTTTTTTGAGACAGGGTCTCAGTTGCCCAGGCTGGCCTTGAACTTGTGATCCTCCTGCTCAGATTCTGTGCCCAGCCTAGTGTCATTGTTTCATCTTCCATTTTCACCCTTCTTGTTCTCGGCTCCACCCTGGGGAGAAACTGCCCCTGACACAGGCTCCTGCCTGGTTCCCCTCAGCTCTCCCCTGCACCCACACCCTGGCATTCAAAGGACTGTCCCCTCAGCTGCCTCACACCTGCCTGTCTCTCCCCTACCCCCATCTGTCTTCCTCCTTCATCACCCCAGTGAAGACACTATTGATAAGACCATCCAGGACCAAGAGACAAATCCAGGGACCACCATCTCACCGCACCTCAGGGACCCGCTCCGACCCTGCTTGCTTACCTGGCTCTGCCGTTGACCACCATGTCCCCGCTCTGCTTCGTTTCCCAGGTCTCTGGAGTGCCTGCTGCTCTTTCCCTCAGTTTCCTTCCTGTGTGCCACACAGCAGTCTGAGGGACTGTCTACATTTCTCCCTGCTGAAACCCTTGCCCTGGGGGTAGAGCCGGCCCCCTCATGAACCTTCTGAAACGCTGCCCAGCCAGGCCCCACTTGAAGGCCTCTGGCCCTGTGGCCTTCCTGTGGTTTCTGTGCTTGAAACCATACCAAGTCTGTGCCTAGCCCGCTTTTGCCAAGAGTTTGGATGTGACGACCTTTGCCAGAAGTAGCCTCCCTCTGCAGCCCTGTCCTCCCCTCGATAATGCCTGCCTGCCTGCCTTTTGTCTCACTAGGGAAAAAATAGAGGCCTTCAAGAAAGGGGTCTTCCTGAAGGAAGAAGCAGGTACCCTAAGTCCTGTGCTTCCCCGGGAAGAGCACTTCCCCTGCCAGATGGCTTTGCTGTCTCTCCATTTTGTGATACACAGCCTCGTGCATACAGAGGGCTTAATAAAGTGTGTTCAATGAAGCCAGATACAGTGGTGCACACCTGCGACCCCAGCTACTACGAGGCTGAGGCAGGAGGATCCCAAGTGCAAGGCCAGCCTCAGCAACTCAGTGAGGCCCTAAGCAACTTACTAAGACCTGGTCTCAAAAAACAAAAAGGGCTGGGGGTCTAACTCATGGTAAAGTGCCCCTGGGTTCAATCTCCAGTACCGACCCCCACGCCCCAAAAAAGAAGGAAAGTTTTAGGCCAGCCTGGGCAACTTAGGGAGACCTTGTATCAAAATAAACTAAAAAGGGCTGTAGCTCCTTGGTAGAGTACCTCTGGGGTTCAATCCCCAATACTACTCACACTGGAAGAAAAAAGTGTTAGATGAGAAGCTGAACAGGTCTGCAGGCCGCTGACATCTCCACGCCCGAGTACATACTCAGCCTCCCAGGGCACACCTCCATCTCTCTGATGAGAGTCAGTTCTGGGTCTGCAGCCAGGTCCCCTGTACACCAATGCTGATGTGGATGTCCATCTGTTTTCTAGATCAAGTCATTCAAAAAATATTTGTTGAGTATATACTATTTGTCAGGCAATGATCAAGATCAGCATCATTTGGGGCTGGGGCTGTAGCTCAGTGGTAAAGTGCTTGCCTTACATGTGTGAGGCACTGGGTTCAATCCTCAGCACCACATAAAAATAAAGACACTGTGTGTTCATCTACAATTAAATAAACATTAAAAAAATAGATCAGCATCATTTGATGAAATGGTATGTGAGGAGTCAGGTGCAGTGATATGCACTATAATCCCAAGGACTCTAAGAAGCTGAGGCAAGAGGATCACAAGTTCAAGGCCAGCCTGGACAACTTAGGTAGAACTTGTGTCAAAATAAAAATTAAAACGGCTGAGGATATAGCTCAGCACCACCAAAAAAAAAAAAAAGAAAGAAAGAAAATTTTAAAAAAGATTAGGGCCAGGCGTGGTGGCACTTTCCTGCAATCTTAGAGCTTGGGAGGTTGAGGCAGGGGGGTCACAAGTTCAAAGCCAGCCTCATCAACTTAGCAAGGACCTAAGCAACTTAGTGAGACCCTGTCTCAAATTTTTTAAAAATAGAATAAAACGGGGCTGGGAATGTGGCTCAGTGGTTAAGCGCCTTAGTGGTTAGCCCAGGGCTCAATCCCTGGTACCATAAATAATTAAATTAAAATAAAATAAGTGTTGGGGAGGTAGCTCAGGGGTAGAGTGCTCCTGGGGTTGATCTCCAGTGTGGCTGAAAAAAAAATTGCATGTGAACTACTTATATATTTTCAAGTTTTCCATTAACCATGTTAAAAAACAAAAAGGAAACAGGTGGAGTTAGTTTTAGGACATGATTTTCTTTAATCCATTATATCCAGAATAGTGTCATTTCAACCCCTTGTCAATATTAAAAAGCATTAAAAAGATATTTTACATTTTTTTTTACATGAAATCTTCCAAAGCTGGTGTGAACTTTCTATTTAGAGCATATCTCAGATTGGACCAGCACATCTCTAAGGCAAGTGTTGGTGGCTGCTGTATGGTGTGGTGCATGTGTTGGGGTCTACCATATGCACTCAGGAAGCTTATGTTCTAGAGGGGAAGGCAACAGTAAATGGGTACAGGATACATGTCAGTTGGTTGTCAGAAGAAGGGGAGAGTGACACCCTTTAGGAGGTGACACTTCAGAATTTTTTTTTGTATGTTTTTTTTTAAATATTTATTTTTTTTTTAGTTTTCGGCGGACACAACATCTTTGTTTGTATGTGGTGCTGAGGATCGAACCCGGGCTGCACGCATGCCAGGCGAGCGCGCTACCACTTGAGCCACATCCCCAGCCCGACACTTCAGAATTTTGTAGCAAGGGGTAGCCATGAAACTGTTTCCAAGAAGGGCATTCAGGTGGCGGGGGGAATGGCAGGTGCAAAGGCCCAGAGGCAAAATGGAAAGAGGCTGGTGTGGCTGGAGTGTGGCTGGCGTGGAGTGAGCCACAGGGCAAGAGCGCCCCAACAGCAACCCCAACTTCCTCAGTTGCTCGGCAACCTTACTAGCTCGGCCGACCCCACCCCCTGTGTCCCACAAGTCAGCAGTCACCTGGTCCCACTTAGCCTCTTCCTCCTGTGTCTGCCTTTCACTACCCCTCAGAGCCCCCCCCCCCATCACTGGTGGACCTGGAGAACCCCCACAGCCTCTGTTCCCACAGCAAATCCAACCCAAACACAATCATTCCTGGACCCTCAGGATTCCATCCAGCTCCTAAACTGGCCTTGGCCTGAGCCCATCCCATCCTCCGTGCTCTCACCTCTCCCGCTGCTGTGATCCAAATTGGAAATGGTGGACTGGGGTCGTGGCTCAGTGGTAGAGCACTAGCATGCGTGAGGCACTGGATTTGATCCCCAGCACCACATAAAAATAACCTAAATAAACAAAATAAAGGGATTGTGTCCATCTACGATGAAAAATATTTTTTTAAAAATTGGAAATGGCTCAAACACAGAGCTGCTGACAATTTCTGATCATGCAACTCTCTGTACTTTGTACTTTGCCTCTCTGTACTTTGCCTCGCTCTTCCCCTAAGGGCTGAGAGGGGCCACCTCTTCCAGGAAGGCTCTGGGTGGATACCTCTGCCTGTTGTTGCGGTCACCAGGGTATGTGACCTCTGGGTCTCTCTCCCTGTGGAGGTCCCACTGGGGATTTACATAGTGAAAACCTCTGAATTACCTGAGCCCAGTACCTGACTCTGTTTTACACATGAAACATTAAGGATTTTCCTTGTTTGTTTGCAAAGGTATTTTAAACACAGATTATAGCAGTTTTTATTTCAACATTCACCCAGCTCTTTTTATTTTCCCTGTGCTTCTTATACAGAATGGCTTCTAACCTTACTTTTTTTTTCCCCCTTATTACTGGGGATTGAGCCTGGGGGGTCTTTAACCACCAAGCCATATCTCAGCAATTTTTACTTTTTACTTTGAGACAGGGTCTTGCTAGGTTGCCTAGGGCCTCAATAAGTTGCTGAGGCTGGCCTTGAACTTGCCATCCTTCTGCCTCAGTCTCCTGAGTTGTTCGGATTACAGGTGTGCACCATGGCCCAGCCAACCTTACTCCTTTTAAATCTGAGTGTCCTCGTTCAAAATAGGCACGTGCCAGTGTTCACTGGCACATGCCTGTAATTCCAGCAACTTGGGAGGCTGAGCAAGAGGATTGCAAATTTGAAGCCAGTCTCAGCAATTTAATGAGACTCTGTCTCAAAAAAAGAGGCACAGGTCTAGGGGTACCTGCAACTCAGTGGCAGAGCAGTTGCCTAGCACGTGCAAGGCCCTGTAAAAACATAAGCACGAGTTCACATAGAAATACATAGCACCCCTTTCCTCTTTTATACTGCAGTTGTTATAGAATATTGATCTTGAAAGCATTGTTCTTGAAAGTACAGGTATGTTTTATTAAATTTTAATTGTTTCATAAAGTGTTAGAAAACATTTACTAGAGGAAAACCCGTTTTTCCCAAGGCTCCTGCAGTAAACAGTGACTTCAGTGAGGAGCTGCTGCCACCTAGTGGCATAAGTAGAAATTGCTGGGGGACTCCTTTTGATTGTCTTTGCAAAGGACCAGACAACCTCCTCCCACCATCACCACCACCCCTGCTCCCTGTTTGAGGTTTCTTCTGTCGCAGTTCCAGGGATCCGGTAAAGAGACCTACAACAAGAATTGGGAGCCCTGAGTACTGATACCCAACCTGCTACTAACTCGCTGTTGAGCCTGGGGCAGGGACACTGCCTTCTCTGGGTTGAAGGATGGGCAAAATTGGTTCTGAAGGCCCTTGGGGTCTGCCACACACATATGGATGAGTAACATCCAGGCTCTCCGGCAAACTCTCCTCTGTGCCTGCTGCCCACAAATGGGCTTCAGGTAGATAGGGGAGGACTGGACAGTCCTTCCTGAAGGCAGAGGGATGGGTGGGCTGACTGCCTGAACTTTTACCCCAATCTCATGTTCTTATAGGTTGACATAAGGCCTGACCCCCACCCCTATGCCACCTGCCACCCCTGCCATAAAGATCAAGTCTGTGGTCACTTCCAAAATAGATCTCCTCTGAGATCCAAGCTCAGCCCCTGGTTCTCCATGGACCAGGGACTGGCTTTCTCCCTCGGATTGGAGGTTCCTGAGGGCTGGGGAAGTCTTTCCTCCTCTCCCCTCCCCACTCCCAGCCTGGGGGCTCTCTGACTGCAGGCAGCACAAGATCAGGCCTATCTCCTCCATCAGAGTCTCCAAAGAACCTCACCCTGTTGGAAGGACAGCTTCGAGCAGCACACAGGCCTAATCCTTGTGCCCCCCACCACCACCACCACGTGCCTGTGCCTGACAGCCTGGGCCTAAAGCCTGTCAGGAAGCCCCCCTCCCAAGCCCCCTACCTGGACACCAAGGGAAGGGAGTGGAGGCAGCGAAGCTGAGGCAGGTGTAGAATAAATATAACTTTATTCTTTATCCAGTAGATCTCAGTGGAAAGTCCAACAGTAACAGGTGCGCCAGTGGGCTCCGGGGGATGGGACCCCAGCCCTGGGGCCAGGAGGGCAGGGCAGAGCCAGCTCCCCCAGCCCAGAGGTGCAGGGGTAAGGGAAGGGGACCCCCCCATACACCCGTCCTGCGGGAAAAGAAGGGGGCATGGGTGTGGGGCAAGCCAGGATTGGGGGATAGGCCAGGGAAATGGAGGAACTCAGGCTAAGTGTGTCAGCCCATCAACTCGTGTGTGTGTGTGTGTGTGTGTGTGTGTGTCCAGGGACCCCTTGAGGTGCTGGTGGCTGTGAGGCTGGGGGCAGAGGCAGCTCAGAACCCCTGGCTGGCCCCTTCACAGTGGGGCTAGGGGCTTAGATGATTTGGGCCCTGACAGGCAGAGACATTGTAGAGAAGCACTCTACACGTCCCCAGGGACCCCAGTCCTTCCCCCTACCCCACTTGTCATTGAGTGGAGGCAGATGCCAAAGGCCAGGACCCCTCCTTCCAAGGGTTACCCGAAACTGTCCACACCCAGTGGTTAGGAAGAGGGAGGAAGGGGCTGGCTGCTCCCCCAGTCAGAGGGGAAGACAGGCCACGGAAAGTTAGTACTTCACAGTATTAAAGAGAAAACTGAAGAGGAGAAGGCTGAGGAGGAGGGCTGGAGGGACAGGGACGCAGAGGGAGAGCGGGAGCCCTTCTGAGCCACTTCCCTCCCCCAGGACCCACCCACCTCCAGCTCTGGATCCAGCTCCCCCCAATACACAGCACAAATTCCTTCAGTATAAATGTGCTTAAAATGAAAATTCTTATTAAAAAAATCAAAACAAAAAAATTAAAAACAAAACCAGCGAGAATTAATACCTGGGTGTTGGTATGGCAGGGTATATACAGGGGGAACCCCCCACCCCAGCCACCCCTTTGTCACCAACCGAGGCAGGGGGAGGTTCCCCAACCGGGGAGCAATGGCTTGAGTTTGGAGGATGGGGAGCCAGGTCCCGGCATTGCTGGTGATGAAGATGTGGCGAGGCGGGCAGGGCTGTCTTGACAAACGCAAGGTCCAGGCCCAGGTCCTCACTTGGCTCACTGCCTGGCCCCCGACGTCAGCCCAGGCTGCAGAGAGGGCAGTCCATCGCGGGCCCAGGCCTTTGTCCAGAGAGTTGCTGCCTCCTCCCTCCTGTCCCCTGGGAAGGTCCCCAGTTCTGTCTGGGAGGCCGGTGGGGGCAGGGCTGGCAGGGTTGCGTGGTTGGTAGGAGGCAGAGAAAGCCGGGGCATGGGCCAGGGCTGTGTCCAAGTGGCGCAGTGGTCACGGCGAGTGGTCACGGCGAGTGGGTGGCTGGGCTGCTTCTGTTGGAGCTGGGGCTGAGGCTGGGGCTACAGCTGCCTGGCGGGGGCGCCAAGCCACCCCCGTCCCGTCCCCCGCCCCCCGGCTGTCCGCTCAGAGTGTCCAAGCCCTCCGAATTCTCCAGCATTTCCTGGATGAGAGGTGGCATGGAGCCTGGGATCTCCATCTTCAGCGTGATCACTCGCTCAGCCCCTGCAGGAAAGGAAGGTGGAGGTCAATATGCCCCACCCTGGCCAACAAGCAGGGCTTCAGGAGGGAGGGCCATGGGAGGCGGGAGGACAATACAGGAATGTAGGCACCCACCACACACTGTACTTGGGACTTAGTTATTTGACATGTATCAGCTCTCCTAGACCTCACATCATGTCCAGGGGCTTGTGGCAATGGGGCAAAGTGGTACCAAGTTTGGGCTCCTGGGTCAGACTGCCTACCTGGGTTTGACATTGGGCCTCCTGATTATCCCACTCCCACCTCCAGACACTATCACCATCCCCACTCCTCAGATGGGAAACTGAGGTCCAGAGCTGCTAGTTTCTGGCTCATGGACAACACCCACGGATCTGGTTCCAGAGCCGTGCCCTGAACTACCATGCAAAGGCATCTGGCCAGAGAGCTTTCGGGGAACTGTAGCCTAGACAGGGACAGGTGGATCCAGATGAGCAGCACACTGTCTGGGCAGGGTGAGCTGTTGCCAGCTAAGCTGTTGGGGGCCAGACCCTGGGCATGAACAGTAGGTCCCAGGCTAGGTGGAGGGGCCACACCCTTCTAGGTCAGGGAGCCTCACCTTTGGCGCTGATGCTTCGCAGGTCTGTGATCTTCATCAGCATCTTGGGGAACATGTGGGGACGGCTGGGCCTCCGTTTCCGCACATAGACCTTCAGCGCCTCAAGCAGTGGTTCCTGCAGCATGTCTACCCTGTCAGGCTGCTCCAGGTCCTGCCGGTCTGAGAAGCACAGAACTGTCCCCTGAGCAGATGCCCTCAACTAGCACACAACTGCATTCCCAGTATCAGCCACTGGAGGGCATGTCTGAACAGGCCACAGTTAGGGCAGCCCAGAGGGTACCTCAGACCTCCCCACAAGACAGGGGGTCTCTGAGCGCCCAGTGGGAACAGAGGCCCTTAAATGTAAGCAAAGAGGAGTTAGGACCAGAGTTACCAAAGCCCTCCCTACCAGCCCCTTTTGTGGGTCTGGGACCCCTAAACAGGCGGCACCACTGTCAAGCAGAGGGAGGATTCCCAGCAGGCTCCCAATCCCACCAGGTGATGGTGACAGCAACCAACATGAACCGGGTCTTACTGCAGGCATGCTCTGCCTTATTGAAAACCTCGTTAACCCCACCTCGACTTCATGAGGTAGACTGTTATTGACCCCATTTGACAGAAACAGAGGCTCTGAAGCAGGCTCGGAAAAGCTCAACAACCAAAAGTTAAAATTTAAAAATAAACATTAAAAAATCAGTAACCTACTCAAGGTCACACAGCTGCCCAGGACTTGAACCTGGGCAGACTGACCCTCCAGTCCTCATTCTTGAACTCCCTAGAAGAAATAGGGCTTCAGGGTTCAGGCCCTTGACACTGCTGTCTTGCTGCCCCTCAAGGCCTCAGTGTCCCTCTCTCAGAGGGACATGGCAGATGATGTCTGAGTTTTCTGCAAAGGCTCCAAGGCCTGCACTCCCACCCTGGACCTGGCCCCCACACCCGGGCCCCTGCCCACCTCCACAGATGAGGCAGATGGCACTGAGCAGCCCAGTCTCAGCATCATCCATCTCCAGGGGCAGCAGCTGGTTGGCAAAGGCAAAGACCAGGTCAGTGAGGGGGCCGAAGCCAGCGTTGTGCATCTGGGTCCGGTTCAGGGTCAGCCCGTCCGAGAAGGTCATTGTGTCCTGTTCGGGCGTGTACCGCGTGCAGATCCGTAGGATCTGGGTGCAGAGAGGCACAAGTTCAGGGACTCAAGCTCCATCTACCCCTGGCACACAGAACCAGCATTCCCCAGAGGACCACCTGGCAGGCAGCCAGAGCAGTGCTGTCTGACAGAATTTTTCTACAATGATGGAAAGCTTCTCTCTGCACCATCCTGCACAGTAGCCACCAGACCTATGCGGCTACTGAGTATTGAGATGTGAGTAATGCAACTGAGGAACTGGCCTAAGTCTAATTGTAATTAATTTAAATTTAAATAGCCACACAGAGCAAGTGGCTACTGTATTGGGCAGTGCAGATCTAGGTCATCTTGCCTCCACAGAGAATCAGAGGGACACAAATTTCCAGGAGACAAGGAACTAGGAAGATCTGTGTCTACAGTTCACAGGACAAAGCTCAGTCGAGGTGTCCTGACTTGAACCAGGTGCACCCTGATGGTGCCTTCCACATTTGGGCATGGAGATGGGTGGCTGAGCATGGACAGCACGCTCTCTGCCTACCACCCACTAGCCTCACCAAATCCCAGGTGTCTCACCCTGGACGTGTCTGAAAGGGAACAAGTGGACTGAGCCCTTGTCAGGGATGACAGGAAGAAGAGTCCTCTTCCC